AGGAATTTTGATCACTAAGTGATGCAGTTGTAAAACGCAACCACATTGCTTAGCCACAGCCATCTCTGCATTTCTGGTTGTTGACCAAATCCTACAGTCACATGGTGAGGAAATGTCTTACCGACTTTCCACAACAAGTCAGTGGGGAAGCCAGCACGGTTGCAAGTCCCACACCAGCAGGCAAGTAAATGGCTGTTGCCAGGTTGGGGAGGGATTGAGATGTGTGGGGATGTGCAAGGTTGTGAGGGGAATGTGAGAGAGGTAAGGTGTAAGTTGAGGACAGTGTGAGGCTTCAAGACACTGCAAGGGGACACTGGGAGGGCATATGAGGGTGAGCAATGTGATAAGATACAAGAGGTACAATATGGCTGGGGGGATGTGAAAGAGTGCAAGTGGGTACATGTGTAGCCAGGGTGACACAAGTACAGAGGAGCTTGAGGTTAGTGCACAGATGGGGAAGACTTAGTCCCCATAGGTGATTTATAGAGGCTAAATCTAAATCTACTGGCAACTCCATTGACTTTCTGGGGAAGCCAGAAGATTGCAAATGTTGCAATCACATGATCATGTGGTGCTGCAACCGATTCTAAGTGTGAACCAGTTGCCAATTGCCAAGATCACAATCAACTGACCACAACACTTCTGCTGCTCCTATTTGCCATATATTGTGAGAATATACATATTCTTGCCCTACAATACTTTTCGAATGCTGTTTCCACTATATGGCCTGTAATTGTATTGTGATCTCTTTTCTGAGATGCTTAAAAAAGTCAAAAGAAAACCATTTGTTTGCATTAGCATTGTCATTATACTGCAATTTCCCCCCCTAAAAACTTGGCTTTGTATCTGGACCTAGGGCATGTAATATATTAAGGACCTCTTTTTGGCTTTACTGTTAGATGTTTAACTAGCCTATAACCTGCTTAATGCATTTATTGTTTGGATGTTTAATTGTTCTAACTGTTACATAGTTTTATTATTGTAAGCTGTCCAGAATCACTTGCTGAGATGGGCTGCAATAGAAACTGAATGAATGAATGAATGAATGAATGATAGAAATATAGTAAGTTTCCATAATCCTGAAAAATATTCCTTTCTCCTTCCACACTTTTCATTCATTATGCAAGCATGAAAACTGAATTTATGTTTTAGAAATGAGTATGTGAAGAGTATTTATCAAGAAAATATGTTACATTTATGGCATTGGTTCAGGTTGTCTTACAAGACAGTGATCAGTGAAGTCTTAATATCCCCTCATTCTCTTTTGATAAAACAATTATCACCTCTAACCTGTCTGAACCTGAAAGCATTATATGGCAAATCACTTTTTTTTTCCCATAGAGCAGAGTCTGCTATCTTTAATACAAGGAAATTTGATGTTGTTGCCAAATTCCCTGTTTTTCTATTCTTAATAGTGGACATGATTAGTCTATTTATCAGCTGGGTAGAAAAATGGGGCCACCTACAGACAAGTGCTAGAAGTTTTCACAAGTGCAGAAGACATTTTAAGATTGATGTATTAATAATCCCCTTGTTCTTCTCTTTCTCCGGGACACTCTATGCTGTCTAAGGACTAAAACAGACAATTTCCATTAGGGATTTTCCATCACATTCTCTTGAAATTTCTCTATTTTTATTCGTTAAAAGCAAATAATGTTATGAGTCTCTTCTTCCAGGTCAACTTTAATTCTGAATGGTAGCATTCCTACTGTGTAAGAAGGTTTTTTTTTCTTCTTACATAAGTTTGCTAAATCCGTATCAAGTAAATAGAAAAATTAGTAAAGCAATTGTTTTGAAATATGCAAGAAAATGTTCAAATACATGAGCATTTTTAAAGAAAATCCAGAAACTTCACTCAGCTAAATGAAGGTTAAATGTATTCATTGACCTGCAGGAGGCATGGGATATAGAAACATCATTTGAAAATAATAGGGCAGAGGTGCAAAATAATTAGTCTATCACAGCTCCTTACATACTCTGATTCCTATTCCCCCTCCAATATTCACCAGTGCCTGCAGACTGCAGTATATCTGCAGATCTCTCTTGATTGCTACCAAATTCCGCATTTCTCCTAATTTGGTAGAGTATAAATTGTTGTTGTTTTTTTCAACCCAGAGACCAGCATGTTGCTAAACGAAGTCCCAGCCTCATTTTCATTTTCAAGAATTCCTATGGTAATTTTATCAAAACATAGCTAGCTGCTTGAAACAGGCTTTTATTTGAAAACACTCTATCAGAGAAAGATTGAGAGAGAGGGAGAGGGAGGGAGGGAGTGGGTTGGAGGCAATATCTTGACAGTTTAAAAGGGATCCTAAGGAAGCAATAAGCATTGGTAGAAAGTATAAAAGTGTTTTAACATAGTAGGTTGGTTTCATCAGGAAAAAAATAAGACAGACTTTAAAAGTATCTATTATATTGTGACATGTGTTAGCTTGTTTATAAAATCTATTTCCTTTTTCTGTGTTGGTGCATGTATGCACAGCAGGAACAACTTTTTTTTCTGCTTTTGCTTTTAAATCTGGGAATTATGCCTTTACAAAGCAGCTCTAAAATTGGCAATTTGATTCAAGTTATTCTGAAAAAGCAAGGTACCTTCACTGAGGTTCTCAATTGAAGCATCAAAGGCAATTGTTTCCTTTGCCAATCTATTTCCAAGAAGTGCTTTCAGAATATGCATACCCTTGTAGAATTGAAGGCCCTTAAAACGGCCATCTGAATTTGAACGTTTTAATCATGATTCTATAAAGCTTAATGGTTATATGCCCTCTGTGTGTGTGTGCATGTGCTTTTAAATTAGTAGGGGAGGAACATTCCAGTTTGCCTTCAATGTCTTCTGTGAAATAAATGGTGGGAAATATGGAAGGTTATATGAAGCTCAGACCTACCTCTACCCTTATACCCAATTACTTGGCTAACCTGCCTTTCTGTCTTCTTTGAAATAGATATTCAAACAGAAAATTGTGGTTCAAGTGAATAAAATTAGAGGCAAAAATGTGCAATATTTTTTAAGCATTTCAATTTACCTCCCCCAACTGTCTTATATACCATCGAAGATAAATATATCCTTACAGCCAAGCACTTTTAATCTATGTTCTAAAAGAACTGTTTTATGTATCCCGGCTCCAATATTTCAGCAGTCAGCATTTTTAATGGACTCATTGTACTAGAGTGCCAAACTAATACGTGATTGGGTAAAGACGAATCTACTATTTAAACCCCAGAGTGAGCAATTTCACATCTATATTATTAACTACACAGATGGGACAGGGAGCAAAGGAAATTATATAATTTCAATATATATGATGCTTTGGGAGAGCCCACTTTGTTTTCAATCTATTTCTGTCTTGGGTTTTCTAGGTTTTACTCTAGAAACTATGGTGCACGGTTTTTTTAATATATATATACATATATGAGAACTCATGTCACAAGTGAGGCTTGTTTCATACAAATTAAAAATGATTTAAATAACTGCAGAACAAATTATCACAAGAGTATTACTTGGAAGATGCTGATTTGCCCTTCAGGTTCATAAATATCTTTTGGAACTGTTCCCTTAATTTAAAAAAAGGCAGAGAAAAGTCTACTTGTAAATTAGTATGCAATAATTATTAATATAAGTATTTTCCTGCATATGCAAGTTCAAATGCACTAGGGTAAACTATCATAGAGATTTTTTGGGGACACTGTAAACCCCTTTGAGGCAAAGGAAGAAGATGAAAGCAATCCCAGAAAGGCACATAGATTCCTTTGAACCTATTTCTCTGCTTAGCTTGTTTAAGATCAACAGGACAATTATATTTTAAAAAAAGTAAGGGCTAGGCAGTTGCAGAGTTAAGAATGCAGCAGTTCCACCCCCACCCCCCCATCAGATCCAATTCACCCTTCCATCTATCACCTACCGATTTAACCAAAGCCTTTGGCAGTATCTGACAACATCTGAGATTTCCACAGAATCTCCTGGGGAAACGTCTACTTAAGAATTTAAACACTGCATCCACCAATTTAAACACTGTATTGCCATAAAGTCATTGCAGTCCTTTGGGACGAAGCCCTGAAAACCAATTATATTGGCCCAAACGAAGAGAAAACCCTTGTCCTCACTGCATCTCTTTGTACCTGTTTGCTTAAAAGTCTCACTGAGACCCGTCCCTGGAAACCTAGCCACAATGATCTATGCTCAGTTGGCTGCACCTAGGATCACAGCTCTTTTCTCGGAATTTCCTGCAAGCTGGCGCTTACTTCGAGGTAGCAAGTGCTGCCTTCTGCCCGCATCACACGCTTCTGACAAGAGATCGCATGATGGCCTCAGAGTCTCAGGAGCCGCGGATTTATTTCTTTCTTTTCCTAGGGATCAACAATGCAAGGCAATTTCCATCTCGGGGATGATCAAAGTCTCCCCCCACCTCTTTCCCCCCCCCTCCCCCCCTCGTCCCTTCTCTCCGGAATAAGGCGCCCTTCAGCCGGATTCGGAGCATCCAGCACTGCATCCTTCCCTGGGAGGAAACTCCCTTGCAAACAGTGGGAACTTAGTGCCAATGAACACGCCCTAGCTAGGATCGCGGCGAAAGATGCCCTAGAATTTCGCCTGACCTGCTGCCATCGCCTCCCACTCGGCGACCCCTAACGCTGCCTTTTTGGTGACTTCCCTGCCCAATCTTTCCCGAGGGCTTTGCATTCCAGCCCGCCACCCTCTTGCCGATTAAGAGGCGCCTCGGGCTTCCATACCGCATTTTCTTCTGCCCCCCCCCCCCCCCCCCGCCCCCGCCCCGCTCTCGTTAATTTCAATGCGCCCTGCCCCAAAACGCGGCCGCCCCCTTTCTCCGCCCGGCAGCCGCTTTCTCTCTTCCCTCACTTGGCTACTAGAGGAAGGCTTGGAAAACAGCTCTCGGCGAAAGAGCGGGCACTTTGAGGGAGCTCAGGGGGGCGTGTCCTCCCTGACTCGGCCCCACCTCTTTCTTTCAGCTTTCGGTCTTGGAGCGCCGCTAGGCTGCCAGAGGAAAGAGCCACCTGCTTCGGAGCGGTCGCGATTGGCGCCTCGCTCGTTCGTGCCTCCCCCCTCCTCGGTCGCAGAAGCCTGTGAGCGGCCGCTTCTGCGAAGCCTCCAACTTCTCCTTCCATCACCCTCCACGCGTCCCCCTTTTTCGTTGGACCCCGTTGGCTGGAAAGTTGCGGACCCTCCGCTGCGGTTCCTCTTCGGAGAGAAGAAAGCCGTAGCTGCCGCCGCTGCTCTCTGAGGGGAGTGGGTGGGTGGGTGGTAAAAAAAAAAAAAGCCCGCGCCCTCGTCCTTCATATCTTTCATCGAGAGGAGCAGCGGCCGAAGTCGCCGTTCGCCTGGCGGGGAGGCGGAATGGAGATGTCCTCCGCCGTCGCCTCCTGCTTTCCTTGCCGGCTGCAGCGGCAGACGCCGCTCTTCTTTCTCCTGGGGTTGCTGCTTTCTGCCCTTTCCCTGCGGCCAGGTAAGTGAGCGATTGGAGCGGAGCTCAACTTGCGGCTGGCCGGGGACAGGCGCGCCTTTGGGGACCGTGTTAACCGCGGAGGGGAAAGCTGTTTTGAAGCGTTCCGGCTCTTCGGCCTCTTGGTCCTCCGTTTCCTTTTGCTCTTTCTCGGCTGCCTGGAACTTTAGGGGAGGGCGAGCCGGATTGCGGCTGCAGGTGGCTCTGTGTCGCGCGCTCTGGATGGTATCTGGATCCGGTGGTTTAATTTTTTTTTTCCCCTTCGGAAACCGCCTTCCAGACTCCGGACGAACCTCGGCGTTTGTGTGATTTAGAAACCGAGCGCCTTAGCTTGTAAGGGGCGTAGGAAAGCGGGATGGGGGGCGGATTGACCAGAACCGATCAAGCTAAAATAACGCGTGTGGATTAGATTACGATCCCCCCCTCCCCCCGTCCACGTATGCTGCAGCACGGATGCATGACTGCCATCCCTCACTTATTAAACTCATGGAGACTTTTGTAGGAAAGTGGAGACCGTCATCCCAAGTGGACCCGATGCATCCTAAGAACCTTTGAAAATTATTCCCTCTCTTTTAAAATGAATATTTCTTTTTTTTTTTTGGTTGGGTTGGTCCCCCCCCCCTTTTTTTTTTTCCTGGCTTAAATCACGTTGAAGGTTCCACTCTCGTGTATTCGTTTGGGGAGAGAAGCCTGTTGATCTTGGCCACCTTCATGTCTGACCTAATGGATCATTAAACATTGAGCCTTTGATAGGTGGGACTGCCCTGTTTTAAATTCAAATGAAAAGATCGTTAGCCCTTTTTTTTCTTGTATTGTACAAATGACAAAAAAGTTGTTCATTTATTTTCCTTATTTGCTTGGGTTTTGTTATAAAAGGAAACAAAATGTGCCTGCCAACTCCCCTTTTAGTTCTCTGGGAAGCTGAACAACATTTGTCAGGGACAGAACAGCCTTTATCTTTGATAGGTTTCTTCTGCTCATTTTAAAAGTTGCCTTACTGGTTGTGCAAGAGAGAGCAAAGCAAGGTGACTACATCTGCTCTACAGATATACCCACACACGAAACACCAACAACCATGTCCTTTAGCTCAAAGAACCGCTAGTACTATGTCTGTAGCAGAAAAAAAATAGGCTGTGGGGGTAGGGTTGAGTGAAAGATTCAAACCAAGTCTAGTTGAAAGTTCAGAGCAGATTTGTACTTCCTATCAGACTGATTTTAAAGCATTAAACATCATTACAGGAAGCCCTCTAGATAAAAATTACTACATACTTAGATAACAGTACAATAAATGGCTTCTTAGGCTGGAACACTTTTCTGCTGTTTCTATTTCACACCTATATAATTCTTTATGGACTTCGCTTCTCTGCTTGTGTTGTATATACTTGTACACACCACCTTCATGGATGCTGTCCAATTCATTGTTGTACTGTTTTCAGAATTTTAGGGACAAAAATATATAGTCCTGTTACGGATAGTTGAGTCTTTACGAGTGACAGATTGTGATATTGAAAGATTAAGTCAGTTCTTGGCTTGCAGACGCTTGGAAAGTCTTCAGGCAAAGAAGTGTGAGATCCACCTGGAATATTCTTCTTGGTGTAAGATCAATTAGGATCTTGAAAACAAGGCTCTTCCAGTTCTAATAGCAGAGGTTCTGCATTAAATCAGCTCCACTTTGGAGCAAATTTACTTGGTAGAATTCCTCATGTGTGATTTTCCACTGAAATATTGGCTTGGTTCCTATTATTTCTTAAGCTTTTCAGGAATAAGTTAAACAGGGTTACTGAAATAGCCTGTATAGTTAGTTCTGTTTCCAGTTTTCTCTCAGAATCTATATGTGTATTAACCAGTACTGGAAGAAGGGAAGCAAACTGTACTCTTCCTACACTGTGCAGCCTCTCATTATTCTTGTAGAAAGAGCGTCAGCCTGTGGCAACATTTTGTATTACTTGAAGAGAGAAGCTTTGTGTGTCGGCCTTTGAATGAATAAAAAACCTTTGTAGTGGATTTAGTGTTTTCACATTTGGAGAACCCCCTTATTAACTATATAAAGGCCAGCTTTTTACTGTGGATACAGAAAGTAACTTTTAAGTATGTGCATGTTTAAGCACATTCATTCCAACTGGTGGTGTTTTGATTAGTACACATCTAAATTTCTAATTTCAGTTAATGAAGCTAAATTTTCTTGCAATAAAATTGGACAGTGCTTCAGTTAAATTTCATTAAATGCAGTATTTAATTATTGTGTCTTTAAGCAGCAGTGGGTTGCATTTGTAAGAAAACTAATTGCAGTGCAACATGAAAAGACTAAGAAAGCCTGAATTCAGGGGTTCGATTAAGAATGCAGTTTAATTGATGATGGTTAGAGAGCAAGCCCCACTGAAGACAGTGGGATTTATTTAATGAAAAAAAAACGTGCTTTTACGCGGTCCCCAAATAAAAGTGTTAAAAAAATAAAAGGAATAAGGTTGCCAAAAATGTTAAATATGCCTATTTATTGGCTTAATTACTTTTGTGTCATCTCAAAACCATTTACTGTGAGTGTAAAGAATCATAGAATCATAGGACTTGCTGCTTTTAATTTTTTTCCTTAAGCAAGGAGAAATCATTAATAGTTGTTTTTGCTTCAAAAGAAGCAAAAGGAATTGAAAATGCCATTTGCTGAGATAGAAACCATTACTAGAAAGTAAGTTGATTGAAATCAATGGGTTTTATGAGCGGACTGAGACCAGTGTTGCTATGTGGATGCAGATAGACACATGATTATTTGTGATAACTATAAACATAATAGTTGAAATAGGTTTTTCCTTTCAAAAATATAATTTTGGAACCGAGTCCTTCCTTTTTCTGATGATATATATACAGTATATGCCATTGAAGTCTAAGTTAATGACAGTTGGCCAGCGAAGACATTTTGAAGTGGTGGTAGATTAGCCCAGTGACAACTTAAGCTGCTGTAAAAATACAGTACTGTAAATCATTAGAAAAAGCATTAAAATGACCAATATTGTAGGAATTTTACATAAAGCTGTGCACCCATACTGATGTTTACTGTCTCAGGTTTACATCTTGAAGACTACCGTAGAACTGGAAAGCGCAGGGCACAATTATTAAAGTGGACATAGAGTGGGAGTGGGAGAGTAGTTCAGAAAGAAGAAAAATATAACAGAAGCATATTAAAATTGTCAAAATACTAGCCTGACCCAAAGAGGGAAAAGAGGGAGGAAGCCAGTACAAATGTAATGTTTTTCTGGTGGAATTGGATATTAATTTGCTCAGAATAGGACAATACTGTATGTACAAACTCATGAACTTTTAGATTATTAATGAAACTAGATGTAATTACACCTAATGTGTATAGTAATATTGGCAGAAGATCTTTTAATGTTATTTTCTGGGATCATGCTTGTGGGTATTGGTTATCCCTCAGATCCTTTTGAAGGATTTAATGATCTTGGTTGACCTTAGCATAGCTAAGCATAGTTTTGTAAGGCCTACCATTTAATAGTTAATTACTTAAATGCTTATTCCTTGTTTATTTCCCATAACTAAGATGTCCATTTCTTAACACTAAATCAAAATATTTTTCTGTCCTTAATTATATGAGTTGCTAAATATTTTATGTGACTAAATGCTTAAACATTTAAGTGCTTAAATGATGTGTGTAAGTGTATTGTAAATAGGTGTGTGTATGTGTGTATAAATCTATGTAAATAATGTATCACTATCATAATATCAGTTAAATATGTTGACCACTATTTTAATAAATGTGAAATTAGAAACAATAAATTGAAGAGCATAAACATGAAAGTCAGTAAATCAATCAGTAGATCTTTTAAGTTAGAGATAGCAAACTTGTGGCTGTACAATTATTATGCCCAATTGATTGATTTAATTCATTAAATTTATATAGCTGTTATAGGAAAGCTGTGAGTAATAATTCTCTATGTAAAAAAATACGCTGATTATTTATTCAGAAATTAATAATCTTATACATATAGTTGCTGTGACATATTTTCATTTGGATTGTCGTGCAACACCATGTAAATGTTCTATTTTAGGTATGATTTTATAGAGGGAGCTAGTTTAGTTTAGTGATTAAAGGAACTTTTCTATCTTTAACCCTCTCAGACCTGGAAAATAGCAATTGCAAACTGCCTTCAAACCATGAACATTGCATGAACTTGTTCATTCAGTTAGAGTCATTATTAACTTGAAGACACCATCAAAATATCATGTATATAACAAAATTAAAGAAATAAGCACATTACAGATTTGTGGATTTTTGTACTTTTTAATCTTTTTGCAAATAGGATTACTTTTCTCCATTTAGAGGGGATATTTCTTGTTCAGGAGCAACTGGAAAGTCAATGATTGCCATGTAAATGATTACTGTACATTTTTTATCCAATACTGTATATCAAACTTTGGTAGGCAGATTACAGTGCATCTAGACAATATCTCACTCTCAGGCTTTATCTTCAGTTCATTTAAAATATTTTCTTTTCTAAGAGTATTAGAAAACATGTATTTTGTTAAGTAGGGAAAGTTTTCATTTCTCAATGATGGACTAATGTTTTATTCACATTTTTTTGCATCTTTGACTTATTATGAGAAATGTGAATGAGTTTGTGAATGAGTGAATTTAATATGTATCAGCCAATGTCTGGGATTCATCATTTAAATTCCAAATTTTATGACAGGATATTTTACAGTTGTTCCAAAAGAAACAAACTATGAAACTTATAATAGTTAAGTGGGGTGATATCCATCTAGATTGTTGATGGATTTGCGTAAAGCTTTCGTGCACACTGTTAGTCCTTTAACTGAGCAATGTGTAATTTCTATTCACACTTATTCTCATAGCTGTTAATCTAATATTCTAACAGAAAAGTTCTCTGTGGATGTCTACTTAGTTTATTTCATTTTCTTTGTGTATTTACATGTTTTTACAAAGCATCAGTAACTAGTGGCTTAGTATTTTTTCATGTATAAGAAATATACTC